CCTACAAGCAGCCCTACTACTGATGATCATCGTCGTGACATGGTATGTAGTACCCATCGCCTTTTGTTGCATGATGTAATGTTTCACAGACAGAATGGGTTCAGCTAACCTGTCCTACACAGTTCCTCCGTCTCGCTATACGTCCTCTTCTTTGTCATACTCCTTTTTGCCCTCTACGTTTATATTGCAAACTACTTCATATACGTCGCCAGAGAGGTCAAGCGCCTCAAGTCCGTCTCCAACTCCCCAATCTACGACCAGTTCAGCTCCGTGCTGTCCGGATTAACGACCATTCGCGGCTTTCAATGCACTCAATCGTACACCAACAACCTGTACCAATTGATTGACGTCAACAGCTCCGCAAACTGGGCACAGCAACTCTTGAAGAGATGGATGGGTTTTCGCATGGGCATGCTCGGCGCCGTCTTCGTCACCATCGTGGCCAGTGTCGTAGCACTGGGTGGTGTAGGCGCTGCGCTCGCAGGATTCAGCTTGTCTTTTGCCTTCCGTTACACTTCCGCGCTAACATCTTTACTAGAGGCCGTGGCAGCGCTAGAATTGGGGTTTAGCTCCTGCGAGAGGGTGTTGGAGTACATCGAGGTTGAACGTGAAAGCGAACAAGGTCTGGACGCCCCTGCAGCCTGGCCAGCGGATGGGAACATCGAAGTCGAAAATCTCACGGCCTCGTATGCCTGCGATCTTCCTCCTGTCTTGTCCGATCTCAGCTTGACCGTTGGAGCCGGCGAGCGGGTTGGGATTGTTGGCCGGTCGGGCGCTGGCAAGTCGACGCTTGCCTCTGTTCTTTTCCGTCTTCTTGAACCCAGCAGAGGCTCGGTCCGCATTGACGGCCTCGATATTTCGACATTGAAGCTAACGCAGCTGCGAAAAAGTCTCGTCATTATCCCCCAAGATCCATTCCTCTTCTCGTACGCATATGAAATTGACTTGTTACACCTTTTGATGTGGATACTGATGCATTCCGTCAATAGAGGCACCCTACGTTCCAATCTAGACATCGAAGGCCGTCTAGATGATACAGAGATATACGACGCCCTACGAAGTGTCAACCTAATCGGTTCAACCTACAACAACCAGAGTTACCCACCATCTTTTTACACTCCGGTCATGGGACCCAGCACGGCCGTCTCTACCCACCCAAACACGGCTTCCACCACACCGCTCCTGGCACCGATTGTTGTCCCCCAAACCGTTGACTTCACCGTCGAGCCCGCGGCCGAAGAAGTCGACATGTTCGACGACATCCACACATTGGGTGACAACCGCGTCCAAATCACCCCTTTCGTTCTCGACACCAGCGACATTGACCCCCTCAACCTCCTCACTTTTGAGTCACATCCCGAAAATCCAACACCCCTCACCTCCATCCTCGAAGTCGAACAAACTCCCACATCCGAGCCCGCACACATACTCGAACCCTCACCAACAGAAGAAGAGCCCATATCCCCACCTCCCGTAACCCTTCCAGCCCCTCTGCTCCCTCTTCCCCCCTCCCCAGCCATCTCCGCCACAACCACAGCTACCAACGATGCCGCCCCCGATAGCCACCGCATCAACCCTTTCACCAACCTCTCCCACCCCATCATCACAGGCGGGTCCAACCTCTCGCAGGGCCAGCGACAGCTCGTCTGCCTCGCGCGCGCTTTGCTTACCCGCCCCAAGATCATGGTTCTGGATGAGGCCACGTCGGCCATTGACCAAGCGACCGACGCGGCCATCCAGCGTTCGCTGCGCAAGTGCGTTAAGAGTACCGGCACCACGGTGCTGGTGATTGCCCATCGGCTGTCGACGGTGGCCGACTTTGATAAAGTCCTAGTGTTGGACAAGGGGCGGGTGGTGGAGTTTGGGGCGCCGCGAGAGCTGGTGAGGAGGGGGATCGAGAGGGATAGGGAGAGGCATAGACAGGATGATGGTGGTCATGGTGGTGGCGCTAGTGATCACGGTGAGAGGCTAGCGGAAAGAAGTATTGGTAGTAATGACTATTTTGGTGATGACGAATGTTCGGAGGAGAACAGGGAAGATGCAGATACGAGTACGTTTTGGGGGCTGGTGAAGAAGAGTACGGAACGGGATAGGTTGGTGGAGATGATTCTGGGGGAAGATCACTAAAGCCAGCAAGAAGCCTCATACAAAGGCACCCGCGCAGTTGGGCAAAGTAGAGGTTGGGAAGGAAAAAAAACACGAGAAGGAAACTAAGCGAAAGTCAGATTAAATGGTATCTGATGAGGCTGGGCGGAAATTACCATGGAATTAGCGATGCCATTAAAGCCTTGCAAGGTTGAATGCAATAGAATTTTCGCAACTAACTAATGATTGAATGTCATAATGGCAATAGAGGGTATTACGCTAGACATTACATAATGTCTATGTTAAGAATCTTGATATCCTCCACTGGCTTGTCCTTATGTGTCTTGACGTTCTCGATGCGATGAATGACATCCAAACCTTGGACACCGCGACCAAAGATCGTGTGCTTGTTGTCAAGCCATGGCTGTTCTCCAGGTTAGTATTGAGTCCTACCGGTATGGGAGCATGTGAGCTTGGTTGGCTTACCGTTTTTTCTGTCGTAATGAAGAACTGACTCCCGTTAGTATTGGGACCAGCATTCGCCATGCTGACTGTATAAGGTTTGTCGTGCTTCAAGCTGCTAAATTCGTCCTCAAATTCCTTGCCCCATATACTCTCGCCGCCTGTTCCGTCGCCGAGAGGGTCGCCACCTTGAATCATGAACTTCCGTATCACACGGTGGAAGATGGTGTTGTTATAATAGCCACGTTTGGCATGCGTAACAAAGTTCTCCACAGCCTTGGGAGCGGCATCCGGGAAAAGCCTGATGTGAATGTCGCCGTAGGTGGTATGAATAACGGCTGACGTCCCTGTCTCGGCCGCCTTCTTCTGTTCTACCTTCTTTGGCCCTCCCAACACGGTTGGTTTCTCGTTCTGGACGTCTCTGGTCGACTTGGAGATTTCTTTATCATTCGTGAACATGTAGAAGCGTACCTTGCCCACGCCGGTCGCTATTAGCATTGGGTCTCTCGTTTCCGATTCCTGTAGAAGTGGATTGGCAGATGCGGCCATGGCAACTGTTGTCACGCCCTTTTTCTGAGGCTGACCTTGGTAAATGGCCAGAGAAAGGGGCCTGAATCCTTCCTCCTTGCCATATACCTTAGCGACCTGATTGGTGTAGGTATTGAGAACTTTGATACCCAGGTAGGAGCCGTAGAGGATGAAGTGTCCTGATTCGTCAAAGACTACATTGAACTTATTCCGTAGTGCCGGCGACTCAATTTCCCTTTCTTGCGCGATGCGGCGGCCGAACTCTACGGCGTCGAGCTTCTGTAGTGCAGTACCAGCCTGCTGCATTTCCTCCACGACCTTGAGAGATTCGTCGTATGTGCGTTGTAGTTTCCCGGAAGCAAAGTCGAAGATGCGGATCTTCCGATCTGGGAAAGAGACAGTGACAAATCGGCTGCCGTCAGGAGACAGTGCGAGGGAGGTTGGTACAGCCTTTGCCTTCTTGAACTCGAACAGATTTGTGGCGCTCTTGAACTTGAAGACCGATTCGGGTTTTCCGTAGGAACCACTCGGCTGCCAATATTCCACCATGCCGCCGTCATCCGCCGATACCACGCAGTCAAATCTGTCGTTGAAAGCCATGATTCCTACTGGACTCCGGTGTAATCCACTGATGGTATGGAAAGGCTTTTCTTGCTGACCACGTCCGTCATAAAGATGAATGACGGGCTTTTCCTCCTCGGAAACTGCTAGGATGGGCAAAGGGGCACCCTTTCGGTGCACCCAGCAGACACATGCTGGTACGTAGTCGAGTTGAAGAACGGCGAGAAGATCGAAGGCATTGACGTCGAACAGCTTGATGGTCTTGTCGGCACCGGCTGTAGCAAAGCTGCGGCCATCTTGACTTACAGAAACAGACTTGATTTCGCCGAGATGAGCCTTGTATTCCTTGACGAACTCGAGTTCTCCGGTAACCTTCTTCCAGAACTTGACAACGCCGTCTATCGAAGTGGTGATCAAGAAGTCGGTGATGGGTGTCATGGTGAGGAACGTCAATTGTTCCTTGTGCATCAAGGACTTGGAATACCGGGCGGACTTGGGCATGGCCTTTAAGTACAGCTTCTCGTAGGGAAGAACGCGGCGCTTCTTCTTGGGCGCCTCGGCCGAGGGCAGCTGGGGGCCCATATCATCGTCGGAGGAGCTATCTGCATGGCAACGTGCCGTTGTCAGCTCCTGGGATCCAGGATGGTTGCGAGGGGCAATTCGGGTGACAGAAAAAGGTGAACATCACTTACCATCTCCAGAACCGTCCTGTGCAACGCCCTCTGTGAATTCTTCATGCGTGCGCTTGTTCGACTTGACGTCATTTTCTGGTTTATTCGATTCCATCTTGACTTTTGGGCGACAGAGTTCTTGGGGGAAGACTTCGATCAAATACCGGAGCGGTTTGAGTTTGGGTGCGGAGTATCATGAAGAGACTCGGTAGATGATTGCGCCTGAATATGATGGTGGATGTGGTCGTGGTGCAAAGAGGCGTGAAGATTAGATGGGACGGGATACTGTCGCGACATGGACCACACCATAAACTATCTGGGCGCAGATCGGCGGTTCCTGCGTGTCCTGCGACGGTTCCCGGCGGGAGGTTTAAAGTGGAGACTCTGATTGAATTCTCCAGGGTAGGTGAGCCAAATGCAATTGAAAACGTCGAAAGCTAGTGAGTGCATGAGACCGGCACGATCGGTCATCGATCGCCTTACCTAGCACGTGAAAGCAGGTTTTCTGCGTTTTCGTTCCCTTTCGTTTTTTCCGAAGCTGAGGCCTGTCTTCTATCTCTTTGCTCGAACAGTTACACTTTGTCTTTCGCTCAAGACGTCCTTCAAACATCGATCGCAAGTTACACTCGTTCTCTAATTCTTCGTTTTACCACCACCCATATTCTGTTCGCCATCGCGCCCGCAACCATGACAATGCATCCCTTGCAGCGTGTCGCTTCTCCATCGCGGGGCCTTTCCGCCCTTATACATATGCTGGGCATGGTGTCTTTCATGACGAGCTTCAGCTACCTGCACTTGTTTCCGCGGGAACTTCATCTGGGATTCGGAGGAGCTTTCAAGTTCCTGACCATTATTGGCCTAGGTCTAGCACTTGTCACGTTTGCAGTTGCCTTGCTTGCGGATCTAATCTTGAGCCCGAGCCTGTTCAGAATCAAGAATGTCCTCTCGGTCTGTTCTGCGCCCTTGGCCGTGCTCATAAGCACCCTTTACTGGGGCATTTGTGCAATTAATAAGAACCTGGTTGTGCCGCCCGACATGGCCATTCCCGTTCTCCCAGATGTGTACGAAAAACTTACCGTAGCCTATCTGCTGTATGTCTGACTGGTGCAAGTGGTGCTGTGGCTAACAAAACCCCAACAGAGGATTCCATGCCATGCCGGCTATCATGCTGACGCTGGACTTGATGTTCCTGAGCCCCCCTTGGACGGTCAAGGGATATGGTGCTATGACCATCAGTACGACCATAGCATTTTTTTACTGGGGCTGGGTGGAACTCTGCTTTTCTAAGAACGGATGGTAAGAACGACGGACACGAAGCAGAGACCAGGCGGTAAAACCGCACACAATTCCGACACCCTCGAGATTTACCAAAATGTCTAACTGTTTTGCTAGGTATCCGTACCCGATCTTCGATATCCTCAACACCTGGCAACGAGTCTTGCTGTTCACCTTTTCGGCGCTGTTGATGACAGGTAGCACAATGGCTTTGAAGTGGGTTTATGGCAAGATCAACAGCATCGAGAAGTTCAAGAAAGATGCTCTGCGCCCTCTCAAAGACGAGTGATGATCCGGGTATTCAACAGTCTTACCAATGCAAATCTAGAGTTGGCTATTGACCGTTTGCCATCCATCCATCGTCATGTTCCTGACTGTTGTTACAAGTATTGGGTTCTAATTGAACTCCGGTTGCGTTTCGTTTGTCAAGGAAGTCGACATTTTGAGACCTGGGAATGCAATAAGACAGTCAAGATATGAATGTTGATAGAGGTACCCTGCATTCGTTGTGAACAATCAGTTATGGGTGTGAAGAACAAACATGTACTTACCTTGCAAGAGCGCGCACCCCGGTGCTCAAGCTCCGAAACCCGGACCGAGTGGATCCCCCGCCAAGTGTCGAAGGCCACCTGCATTTGGCTTCGTCACCCGAGCTTGCCCGGAGCATACACTACTAGGTATGTAGGTACCTCTATGTTCCATCCTACGGTTAACGATATCACAGGCAAAGCTGTGTTCCCTTTACTTCGGAGGCTGAGAACAAGCAAGGCCAACCACATGCATGCGAACCGTCGGGTGCTCTTGCATGGAACTTTTTTTGCCGCCTAGAATCCTTCCATATTCCTTCCACAACTGTTCCATGATGACGGACCATCCACTGCATGGGCCCGGGCCAATTGTCTCTCTGCAAGAGGATGAAGGATCACCATTTCGTGAGCATGAGCCATTATAAGGAATATTGTGAATATGTTCTCTAGATATCACTCGCCCTTAAACGAGAGCTCACCATTCGGGGTTTTGCCGTTGGTTCACAGGAGAGGAAGCGGTTGGATATGAATTGCTCCGTGTCTGACTCTTACATCGTCTTTGCCCTGTTGGAGCTACTAGGTACACTACTTTCCGTCCAGTACCAATGCCCATGTCTGTGCTTTGATCTATTACATACGGATATTCGTGTGTCTCTCTTACCACGTACTCACACCTTGATGCCCTCATCCTCCATTACATCTCGTGATTTTCCTGTCAATTTTTTTTTTTTTTTTTTTTTTTTTTTTTTTTTTTTTTTTTTGCAATAAAATAAATGAGACTCTGTTGACGTTGCACACGACTTCCATGACGGAAATACCCCCGGTCTCTTGTGTCGATAGCTTGAACTTTTTTGGTTCCTTGATCGGCCTGTCTCTTGCTTTGACCCCTTCACGCAGCTGGCCCACAATGGATAGGGCGTTCCAAGGTACGGCGACCCTTAGCGCTGCCAACAGTCTTGGGTACCGCTACTTGCGCCCCGCCTCACCAGCACCGCACTTGCATTAGGATCCTCTCCAACCACGAGTATCAGATACCTGTTGAGAGGAGTGTGGTGTCATTGCAGGCTCCTGGTTGCCCCTCCTACAAATTTTAAGGTTCCGTACCCAACATGCATTGGACTGGACGGGAGCTGTCAAGTCCCTTTGCCGCCACCACGGCAGCGCCGAGAAAGGAAAATAGGTTCTCCCCCCCACAAACCTGGCTTGTTCCGTCCTTTGACTCATAACGAATATTTGTCTTAAAATCATTTAGTTAAAAGTCGAAGGGTCCTCTTTAGTTCCCGCTCTCATCTACTGTTTTGCACATAGCTTGTTCCACGGCACATAGAAGTCACAAGTCCTCAACATGTCGGTACGTCATGTCCACTTAGACAGAGCCCCACGCCTACCAATGTTGTGTTTAGGTTGGATTGACTCACATGTCGAATCTTTAAGCAACATTTCTACATTGAGAACCGCAACGTCGGCAATCAGGCCGAAAGCGAGGATTGGCGCAGTAAGTATCAATCTCTTTGATTCAGATGTGGAATATTCGCAATCCATTACGCCCGGGGCTCCCTGCTTACTGTTAATCCTTAATCCAGTTCGCGGCTACAACCCGCTGACCCCTCCCGACCTGCTCCAACATGAGATCCCCCAGACCGCTGAATCGAAACAAACCGTCATCAATGGCCGCAAGGAGGTGGTCGCCGTTGTCAATGGCACCGACGAGAAGGAGAGGTTACTAGTAGTCATCGGTCCCTGCTCCATCCACGATCCCAAGGCCGCACTCGAGTACTGCGATCTACTGCTCAAGGAGAAGGAGAAGCACAAGGATGAGCTGTTGATCGTCATGCGATCCTACCTCGAAAAGCCCCGGACGACCGTTGGCTGGAAGGGCCTGATCAACGACCCCGATATCGACAACAGCTTCCAGATCAACAAGGGCTTGCGCCTGAGCAGACAGTTGTTCGTCGACCTCACCTCCAAGGGCATGCCCCTCGCCAGCGAGATGTTGGATACCATCAGCCCGCAATTCCTTGCCGATCTGTTGAGTGTCGGCGCTGTCGGTGCTCGCACCACCGAAAGCCAGCTCCACCGCGAGTTGGCCAGTGGCCTCAGTTTCCCCGTAGGCTTCAAGAACGGCACTGACGGTACCCTGGGTGTTGCCATTGATGCTATTGGCGCTGTCAGACATCCCCATCACTTCTTGTCCGTCACCAAGCCCGGTGTCGTTGCCATCGTCGGAACCGTTGGCAACGAGGACTGCTTCGTCATCCTCCGTGGCGGTACCAAGGGCACCAATTACGATGCGAAGAGCATCGCCGAGGCCAAGGCTGCGCTGGAGAAGAGCGGCTTGCGCCAGCGCCTCATGATTGACTGCAGCCACGGCAACTCGAATAAGAACCACAAGAACCAGCCCAAGGTCGCTGCGGAGATTGCGCAACAACTTGAGAACGGTGAGACTGGTATCATGGGTGTCATGATTGAGAGCAACATCAACGAGGGTAAGTCTTTTTTTTTTTTTTTTTTTTATTGGGGGCATATAACTGTCTAGATTTGAAGCTGGTCGCTAACACAACGTACAGGTAACCAGAAGGTGCCCGAGGAAGGCAAGTGCGGCCTCAAGTACGGTGTCAGTATCACTGATGCTTGTATTGGCTGGGAAGATACTGTCGCCACTCTCGACACGCTTGCGCAGGCCGTCAAAAAGAGGAGAGAAGTCCTGAGCAAGAACGCCACTGCCTAAGTCATGCCAATTCCTGGACTTGTTTGCTTTATGGTTTATGGGTCATTTGATAGGGGTTCACGAACCCTAAGTGAGGGATACCGAATATATACTGGCGCGGGGATGGGAACACAAAAGTTGACATTTCTGCATGTGGTGTGTTTTGATAAAGAGCGTGTATTAATGCATCTTGGGAAATGGCTGTCGAGACAATAGAAGATGGTAAAAGATGGAGCGGGTCTGGATCTCAAAACGAAACAATTACCTTGATTTCTTTCAGTGATAATCTCCAGGATCGTCCATGTTCGACTACAGTTTTGCGTTGCCTTTTGTTTGGATGCGATTGTGGTGATGTGTTGGTGTGAAGCGTGATATCCGTGGTGACCAAATCTGAGCTTCACCTGCGATTACGGAGCCACGGCATAGGTATGTATGTGTGATACATAGCTTTAAACCTGGCTTTCCTTGGCAGCTTTTCCTCGGCTGGGTCCGGTCACGCTGGGTCGCCGTGTGAGCTGAAAGACAGAAGGGGCGGGCGGCGGGCGGCGAGAGCTTGGACATTTATGATTTCCATGGGGCGATGCTGGCTGATGCTGATGCTGATACTGATGCTGATACTGATGCTGATCCTGATCCTGATGCCCAGCTCCCAGCTGTGCCCAGTTGGATTAGTTGCTTGTGAAACTTCCACTTGCAGGTCGGGATTGGGCTCGCTGAGGTGTCTACCTTACTGAGCAAGGTAGTCTCAAAAAGCGCTGAGGCCCGCGGGCAGAATGAGGTAAATTAGTGCGGAAAATCCATCGGCCGGGGCCGAGGGGAAGTGTAAAAGCTCGAAAGGCTGCACGGTGATTGGCCCAGCCAATCAGATGGCGAGTGTTCCTAAGATTCCCGAAATTCAAGAAACCTACGGTCCTACCTACGACGCTACGTGAAGAGAATCGACCGACCTTGCACCTGGACGGACCTCCTCGACCTCCCGCCCGCCAGACCTGATACTGTCACCGACATTGCCAACCCAATTGGCCTTGTCCCCCGAACCCGCGATACTTTTCTAAAGCTTCGCTCAGCTTGCCCACCATGCTGGCGAGGACCTGCCTGCGCTCGACGCGCACCTTTGCCAGCGCGAAAAATGGCGCCTTCAAATTTGCCAAGGTTCGTCTCGATTGCTTCGACAACTCTTTCGTCCTCGTCTCTCTGCCCCTCCAAACAACAGATCTCGGCCGCATCGCCACTCGAATGGCTGGGCCTGGGCCGGCTTGAGCTACCGTCAACCTACTGCGAGCTCCCTGTCCGGGGCCCAGTTGCCCGACCATCCCCGCCCCGGCCGAGCCATCCTGTCTTGTCTCCTTCACACTCTCGCGCTCCTCGAGGAAAGCTAACGGACGTGCCCGGCAGCGTTCGGCTTCCACCCAGAGCTCCGGCGCCGCTGCCGAGTCTCCCCTCCGCCTGAACATTGCTGCCGCCGCTGCCACCGCCGTCGCCGCCGGCTCGATCGCCTGGTACTACCATCTCTATGGATCCGCTTCCGCCATGACTCCGGCTGAGGAAGGGTGAGTTCCCTACGATCGATCCGACCATCCGCCCCGCTCTAGCCGCTGGACCGAGGTCTGCCTCATGTGTTCTGAGGCATATACGACCGAGCTCGACTATAGGCATGAATCTGGGCATGGAGTGACTCGAAGCTTACCGTTGACGCAGTCTCCATGCTACCAAGTACCCCTGGGTCCACGAACAGTGGCTCAAGACCTTTGACCACCAAGCGTAAGCAACCACCCCTATCCAGCCCAGTCGAGGCCGCGCCTCCCCTTCAAAATGACTATCTGGCTCATGACTTTGTTTTTGCCCGACTGCAGTCTTCGCAGAGGTTTCCAGGTGTACCGTGAGGTCTGCGCCTCGTGCCACTCTCTCAGCAGAGTCCCCTACCGCGCTCTTGTCGGCACCATCTTGACCGTCGATGAGGCCAAGGCTCTTGCCGAAGAGAACGAGTACGACACCGAGCCCAACGACCAGGGCGAGATCGAGAAGCGCCCCGGCAAGCTTTCCGACTACCTCCCCGATCCCTACAAGAACGATGAGGCCGCCCGTTTCGCCAACAACGGTGCCCTTCCTCCCGATCTCAGCTTGATTGTCAAGGCCCGCCACGGTGGCTGCGACTACATCTTCTCCCTCCTTACCGGCTATCCCGATGAGCCTCCCGCTGGCGCTTCCGTTGGCGCCGGCCTTAACTTCAACCCCTACTTCCCCGGTACCGGTATCGCCATGGCCCGTGTCCTCTACGACGGCCTCGTCGACTACGAGGATGGCACCCCCGCCTCCACCTCCCAGATGGCCAAGGATGTTGTTGAGTTCCTCAACTGGGCTGCTGAGCCCGAGATGGACGACCGCAAGCGCATGGGTATGAAGGTTCTGGTTGTCACCTCTGTGCTCTTCGCCTTGAGCGTCTATGTTAAGCGTTACAAGTGGGCTTGGCTCAAGTCGAGGAAGATCGTCTACGATCCCCCCAAGGAGTCCACCACCCGCCACTAATTTAGCATTGCCACAACGAAGGGCAAAGTCATGACATTCACACAATAACCGTTGTGAGACGTGCGTGATTTTCCTTGTCTTTTTCTGTGTATGTATCAATACTATTGCTGCCCAAAATTTGCTCCCCCATGTTCCTTTTGCGCATCGGTCAGAAAGAGCAAAACAAAAAGGAATGGGCAGGGGCGAGATCGGTAACCATGGGCAATGCGGAGATGTGCGGGCGTGTGGGTTGAACATGAAGATGGTCGTAGAGTGTATAAATCAAATTTTCTGGTCTCAAATACAACATAGACGTTATTGCCTGTGTCAGACAGGGTATGATGGTATGGGTATGACGGTCAAGCTGAACTTGCATGTGAGTGGATCAGGATACGGATATTACGACATGGGCATTTGAACGGATGCCAAAGAGTAAAAGCCATTTCCCTGTCGGCTACATCATCATGTACGCCTTTAACTTCGAGAGTAGTTGAGATATAGTATGAGCTTCGAAAGCCTTGACGTTTCTCGATTGGCAATCTCTCTTTCACCGAATCACGGTAAATGTCAGCACGAAGTACCACAGAGGATGCCCCTGGCTTGGCATTTGATTTGCCTTCCAAACAAAGTCTTGGTCCCCTCCCCTCCCTTTTCGATCCACTCACTGACAAGCAACAACATCTTGACCCCAAACTCATCGTAGAGTTTTCAATCACATTTTGATTCTACCATTGCTTGACACCACATACGTAAATCCAAAACTCTCCATCCACAGACAACCAGCAAAATGTCATCATCAAAACTATCACCACCCCAATCACAGGCCTCTCGCCTCCCATATAACGATGTCATGTCACCAGCCCTCGCCAATGACATCCTCAATGGCTTCAACGTCGACTTCTCCTCTCCCTCCCAAGACCGAGACTTCCTCGCCTCGCTGCTCACCTCGGGTTTCGCCCCACCGGTTGAAGTCCGCAAACTTTGGGAACCGAGTCTCATGCGTGGAATGGAAGAATGGAAAATGATGATGGACTGTGCCCATTCCTTGAGGGATCAAGCTTATCGGGTTCTGCGGCTGGAGCGAGAACAAGATCATGGTCAAAGTCGCGTGATGGGTGATCCTGAGCTGTGTTTGTTGCCGTTTCTGGGGATGATCATGGCGGGGAGGGAGGAAGGGTGTTTGTTTGACGGGGATACTTGTGCTGGGAGTCTCTTGGGGAAGAGGAGGGAAGGTGGGGGAGGAGAAAAGTCATCGGCGCAAGTGGGAAGAGGTGGAGGCAAGAGGGTGAAGAAGACGACGGGTGTGATGGGGAGAGGTGTCTCGCGTTTTTGGGCGCAAGACGACACGGCGAAAACGAGCAGACAAGGGACGAGGGGTCGGGGGGAGATCGGTGTTTCTGACGCTGTCAGAAAAGCGATGAACGGCCACGAACCGATTAGTGAGGGAGGAAAGATGGCATTGCCGACTCGGGTGATGTCGGCTGTCCACCGCTCAGCTGGGCCTAGTCAGGGCGAAAGAGAATCGAAAGCGAAGAAATCCAGGTTGACCGATAAAACGAAGCTCGAACACTCGAAGTTTCCAGATGAACCAAGCTACGCCGGCACCTGGAGTCCCCAACGTAGCCTTGCTTCACACTCGTCCCCTAACGAAAACCTCGATGTCGCCCTTGGCGATGTATCGGTAGCAGGCACATCGAGTTTTGACGAATATGTTTTAGCAGCTAACGTGAGGATCACCGGAAAGCGCACTTACAAATCGCCCTTTTTCAGTGAACCACCGCCCTGGCCGATATCAACAAGCAAAGCCTCTCCTTCCAAGAGCAAGACCTCCACATCCAAGAGCAGATCCCCAACCAAGAAGTCCCGAAATCCACACCCACCCGGTATCTCTTGCCTCCCCATTGCTCCCCTCTCAACCCCGAGATTCGGATTAATTCAAGAAGAAGTAGCAGCCGACCCCTTCCGTCTGCTCATAGCCGTGACATTCCTGATTAAAGGCCGGGGTACAATGGCCATCCCTCTATTCCGCCAACTAATGGATCTTTTCCCTACTCCCGAGGCGCTCGCCAGTGCCGATCCCTCTGAGATCATCAATCTCATTCGCCCACTGGGGCTATCCGTCAACCGTTGCTCTGTCATACAGAAATATGCGCGGATGTTCATCGAGTGTCCACCGTGTAAAGAAAAGAGGTACGGAGTGAGAAATTATCCGAGACCTGGGGATGCGAGGGGTGTCAAGGTGGGAAAGGAATTTACGGGCGAGCCGGATGACTTCCATATCGGAAAAGCGTCACAGGCAGAATTTGACGATGATGATGACAGGATCAACGCCATCAAATTCGCCAAAGAACATGCCATTGGATGCGCCTGGGAAATCGGCCATCTCACACAGGGTCCATACGCTCTGGACTCGTGGCGGATATTTTGTCGGGATAAGCTCCTCGGTCGGGCGGACGACTGGAAGGGGAAGGGTCGTCATCCGGAGTTTCAGCCGGAATGGATGCGGGTTCTGCCGCAAGATAAGGAGTTGAGAGCGTACTTGCGGTGGATGTGGTACGTGTTTTTGTTTGAATGCGTTCTCTTTTGCTTTGATCTTCTTTCCCAGGCAATCATTCATTGCTGACGAAATTTGGACAAACAGGATGCGTGAAGGATGGGAATGGGATCCTATAACCGGGGAGAGAGAGCCCCTCCGTGAGGAGATGCGGAAGGCAGTGGATGAGGGACGGGTTGTCTATGATGAGTGTGGTAGTTGGGTGATCTTTGGATGAAAAGAGATGAGGGGATAGAAAGATGATGTTCCCTGAAACACTCTGTTTGTTCTGAGTTGCAGTGGTTGGCAAGCATTGGTGGACACAAAGTCCAAGCACGCCGCGAAATAGGTTCCATTCACTGTTGAGCCGGTTGTACCTTCCTCAGAATCACCTC